TTTCTGGCTTGGTCACGGTTTTTGTTTGTTTTTGGCTTTGGCCAGTTCTACAGGATTAAACTCTTGAGGCAGCTGGTGACATTTCGCCAGGTTGTGCTTTGCTAAATTGGAATACTTAAACTGGATCTGGTAGAGCATGCACGTCAACACTCAGGAGGCTGAGGCCTGAGGACCTTGAGTTCGAGGTCAGCCCAAACTACATAGCAAGACTCTTGTCTCGAAAAATAAAACAAAAAACATAAAAATGGGGAAGGGGATTCTACGTTAAGAAAAGTGGTGGTCATTTAGGTACAAGAATTAAATTCCACTGTGCCTTTTTAAAAAGCGCTGAGGATGGAATCCAGGGCCTCAGATGTCCTGAGGTTTTACCATTAATCCACTCTAATCCCCTATTTCACGAAAAAACAAAAACAAAAACTCCCCCATCCCCTGGGGGAGGGCTTGCGAGATGGCCCAGCTGGTAAAGGCACCTGCAGAGGTCTGACCCTGAGTTCAGCCTGACCACCTGAGTTCCACCTCTATTGTGGGAGAATAGAACCAACTTCTGAGAGTCGTTTTCTGACAGACTGGAGAGGTAGATGCATAACACACACGGGCACACGAAAACAATAAAAATATGATTACAAATGTGTAGGAGATATATAGTAAAGTATACAAACTGGGCAGGAGCTGGTATCAGAAATGCCTTCGCTTGCGTCGATGGGTAAGACATATATAGAAAGTATATATACTCCTCCCAGTCCTTCGGCCCAGTCTGTCTTGCTAGGTAGTTGAGGCTGATCTGGAACTCAATATACACTCCAGGCTGTCCTCCAACTTGCTATCCTCCTGCCTCCAGAGCTCTGGGATTGCAGGCATGTGTGACCACCCCTGGCTAAGCCTCTATCTTCATGCATGTTCACAGAACAACCATACCCGAGACTAATCAGAAGCCAACATCAACCACGCAGGATGTGAGCAGCATGCCCAGGGTTATGCTTATTTAATTATACTAACGCTTTGAAGTCGATCATACCATTATTCCCATTTTACACCTGAGGGAACGGAAGGCCAGAGAGGTCGGAAGGCTAAGTACTGTTCAAACCACCACCTGAACGTGCTGGATGTGCTGTCTCCGACGCAAAGCCTGTGCTCCGGAGAAGAAACACACTCTCAGGTTAGAACACGAGACGGCTCACTGGGCACCCTCAGGGCGAGGGAAACCACAGGAAACCTGACGTGGGCGCCACTGGGGGCATGCGCGCGCTGGTCCACGGTGCAGCCTCCCAGCCAGCCCGCCCGCCGCTCGCCGCGCGGCCTCCCGACACACGAGGGAGCTGTCGCAGCACGGGGGGCGCGAGCCGCCGGGCAGTGTCGCGAGATTGGGGAAAGCCGGAAGAGCGACAGAGCCAGGGTCACGTAGCCGGCGCTTCCCCCGCCCCGCTCGCGTAAGTTCTCGCGCGAGTTCTACTTCCGCCCTTTTGGCTCCCTGAGCAGCACCATGGCGGTCGGCAAGAACAAGCGGCTGACGAAAGGCGGCAAGAAGGGAGCCAAGAAGAAAGTGTAAGTGGCGGATTCTGCGGACGCCCGGTGCGCGGGGCCCGCGGGAGTCGGCGGGTAGCTTCTAGGCTGCAGCGTGGGGCGGATGGTGAGGATGCGGGGCGGATTCGCCGGCCGGTGCGCTCCGGGCGCCCGCCTCTCCCCGACCCGGCCGGGTGCCGAGCGCCGCGTGCGAGCCGCGTGCGAGCCGGGCTTCCGTCGCGAGTGGCGGCTTTGGGGTCGCGTGACGGCCGCGCCACTTTTTGTACCTTTCCCGCATCTCGAAGTTCGGCGGTCACTGTGGTTGTCCGCTCGGGCCCCCACGTCACTCCCGTGCTGCGGCCCCGTGGACCTCGGGAGCGCCTGACACTTGCAGAACGCTTCGTCCTGTTAAGAACTAGTTCTTGTCCCAGACCTCCGGGTTCCGGGATGCGTGTCTGGCTGCGTGTGTGTGGGAGCAGTGGAGAAGGCACGGAGTCCGACTTCCCGGTTCGTCCCGGTTGACAGACGCTCACCCCACGGTGAGGTAGATACGAGCCAGTTTTAAAGTTTTGGGACATTATGTCAGCGGAAGTATTAAGGAGAAGGAAGGTTTGAAAGTTGGCAGTAGTAATGTTAAATATTTAGCAAGCTCAGCCTGTTTTCCTCAAACCCAGGGTTGATCCATTTTCGAAGAAAGATTGGTATGATGTGAAAGCCCCGGCCATGTTCAATATTAGAAACATTGGAAAGACACTAGTCACGAGGACTCAAGGAACCAGTGAGTACTGTGTGCTTTTTTGCTGTGTCCATATGCTGTTGAGTGGGTATTCTAACAGACATCTGGGTCTGTTTGTAATGGGGGACTTGATGGACAGATCAGCCCGGGGGTTTCTGGCCTGGCGTTTGGGGTGCTTGTTTTTCATACATATGTAGCAGGAAGAAGGGTCTTTCAGAATTAACCAAGAAAATGTTTGGCTGGGTATTGCCAGTAAGTCATCCATGCCTAGGTGGATTTTGTAACACGTTAACAGGATCTTGGGTTCTTTTGTAGAAATTGCATCCGATGGCCTCAAGGGTCGCGTGTTTGAAGTGAGCCTTGCTGATCTCCAAAACGATGAAGTTGCATTTAGAAAATTCAAGCTAATTACTGAGGATGTTCAGGGCAAAAACTGTCTGACTAACTTCCACGGCATGGATCTTACCCGGGACAAAATGTGTTCCATGGTCAAAAAGTGGCAGGTGAGAAATCCCCCCCCCCCCCCCAACAGCATTTGAGCATGTGTGTAGTGCTGTGGTGTGCCCATGCAGGGGTGCCATGGTGTGGTGATTTGGACATCAGACCTGTTTTCTTGGTATTAAGCACCAGCCTGAAGTTGGGTCCTCCTGAGTTCGTATGTCAGCCATGGCATTTTTTTTTTCACGTAAAGAATGAACAAGTTTTTTCCCCACTGTCATTTATATATTGTTGAGCTGGCTACTATACGAGATAAAACTGCAAGGAGAGCCTGATCAAATGTTGTCTTTTACCCACTTACCTGAATTCTACCTTCTGAATTCCCTTTCCCCCATGAATGATGGAAATTTTTAAATCGTGGTCAAGCTGCTTTTTATTCTTGGATGTTAGAGGTAGCACCCACTACTTTCCACATAGGCAGTTAATCTTTATATTGAGCTACAGCCCCTGGCCAAGTATTTACTGGTTAAAGGGCACATAGGCAGAAGTAGTTTAGAGACTGTTTTAGGGCTGCCCATCTTTGGAGTTTGTAGTGGAAAGGTGACTAATTCCATTGTCTCTGGCCGTGGAGGATGACGGTGGCAGAACTTGTGTGGGGCTGAAATCATGCAGTCTGCATTTATTTTGTCCTTGGAAAGTAACAAGCTTACTTAGCAGCTTGGTTTATTTGTAACATCAGCTCATTGAGTTGTGAAGATGAAATAACTGGTGTAGGTGTTTGCAGAAATCAGTAACCCGTATCATTTCAGGAAATACTAAGATATATACAGGTAACAACAGTATTGGCATATGTATATGGGAATGAATGATGACAAAATGTTTCGGTCCCAAATGAATTATACTGATTTAACCGTTACATGTATTGCTGACATTCCCATACAGATTATGCAATTCTGGAAATGAAAGGTTGTTTAATAAATATTGATACATTCTTTTTGTGGTGGAAGTTTTTTTTTTTGTTTCATTTTTTTTTTAGACGGGGCTAGCTATGCTGCCTAGTCTGCCCTCAAATTCAGAGAGATCTACCTGCTTCTGCCTCTGGAGTGCTGGAGTTGAAGGCGTGTGCCACCACACATGGCAGATAGTGGGTAGGTTTTAAAACAGGACAGGCTTCAAAGCTACAGAGAAACACTGTCTCAAAAAACCAAAAAAGAAAAAATACCAAACAAAAAGATGGAAATAGAATCCAATTAGCTGTCTGGTTAGGTATTTAAATCCTTTAGTTTGAAATAAAAGGGATTAAAAATGCTGTTACAGCAGAATTTCCCCCCCTTTTTTTTTTCCTTTGGAGAAAGGATCCCTAACCTGTTCTGGTATGCTGCCTGCTGTGTAGACCTAGCTGGCCTTGAAGTTGTGGATTGCAGATGTGTGTCATTGTATCTGGCCTATTTTGTTATTGGTGGGTTTTTGTTTTTTTAAATTGACACAGGGACTTAGTATTGTAGACTGCAATGGATTCAAACTCTTATTAGATCTAACCTCTTTTGCCTCCTGCGTGGAGTGCTAGGATTAAAGCACACACAACCTACTTTTTCCCTTTTTAAAGGTGAAAGCAAATTTATATGATCTCATCTTGTGTGTGCTGTCTTAGAATTTAACTTCCAAAGGTCTCTGTTTGGGGGGGGGGGTTGATAGATGCAGAAGTAAGGGTGTGGTGTCCAGTTGTTGACAGTGATGATTTAAGAGAGTAAGAAAGTTGTGAACTCGATATTTATATATTTTATGTCACATAAAGGTTTAACATTCCAAGGTTTTTTATGTTAGTATATGAAGAATTGTTTGAGGCCCTAAAACAACTGCTGCAAAGGCTGATGGAGGTGGTGCACACGGGCAGGGAGGCTAGCCAAAGCTAGTGAGACCCCGTCTCAGAAGAATCCTTTTTCCCCCAGACCATGATTGAAGCTCACGTTGATGTCAAGACAACCGATGGTTATTTGCTCCGACTCTTCTGTGTTGGTTTCACTAAAAAACGCAACAATCAGATCCGCAAGACCTCATATGCACAGCACCAGCAGGTCCGCCAGATCCGGAAGAAGATGATGGAGATCATGACCCGAGAGGTGCAGACAAATGACTTGAAGGAAGTGGTTAATAAACTGTAAGTGGGTTTGTGTTTCTTCCTGTTGAATTATCCTTCGGTAAGAGAAGGCGTATGTGGGCAAGCTGGAGTTATTTTTCCAGCTGAAGCTCCAACAGTAGATAGTGAAACGTAGACAGTAACTTAGATACACACGGAGTAATAGAGCTTTCCATGATACTGTATGGGAATACATGATGAGAAGATGTTTCGGTCCCAGTTGATGTACACTGATAACTGTTAACATTTTCCTGATGTTCCCATGCAGAATACAAATGTCTAAGGATATTTTGCAAAAAAGAAGGAAAACTTGGGAGCTAATTTTGTTGCTAGATATAACCATCTTTAATTAGGATGCCTGTGGTTGCACATTAGATACTGTCTAAGGTTCTTTTTCAGTGTAAAGTAGTTATGTGAAAAACAGACTTTGGTGGGTTTCTTGTTTGCTTGTTTTTTAATTTAAAGTTTGCTGGTCTTGCAGGATTCCAGACAGCATTGGGAAAGACATAGAAAAGGCTTGCCAGTCCATTTATCCTCTTCATGATGTCTTCGTTAGGAAAGTAAAAATGCTGAAGAAACCCAAGTTTGAATGTAAGTGAGAAATCAGGGCTCATGAGAAGAAAATTTGTGGGACCAAATACATGACTTTTTTAATGACTTATATTTTATAAATTGATTGTAATTTGACTGCATGTATATATAGTTTAGGCACCACCCTGTATGTACTTGGTGATTTTGTTCTGAAGAGGGCTTCAGTTTACCTGGGAATGAAGTTAACAGATGGTTGCAAGCTACCTGTGGGTGCCGGGAACTGAGTGGACCCAATTCCTCTGTAAGAACAAGTGCTCTTAACCACTGAGCCACCTCTTCAGCTCTTTACATATCAATATTACTCATTTTAAAATTGGATTTATTTTTGAGATAGGGTTTCACTGTGTATGTAGCCCTATCTGTCCTGGAACTCAGAGATCCATCTGCCTGCTGCCTGCCTTTGTGTCCTGAGTGCTGGGATTAAAGGCGTGCAAGACCACAGGTGGCGTTGTGTAAAATAATTTCTTTTTTAATTTTGACAAAGGGCTTTTCTGCAGCTTTGGAGCTTGTCCTGGAACTAACTTGTAGACCAGGCTGGCCTCAAATTATCAGATCTGCCTGCCTCTGCCTCCCTAGTGCTGGGATCAAATGCTTGTGCCACCAACTGTCCGGCTCAACATGTAAATTTTTTTTTTTTAAAAATATGTGTTTATTTATTATGTATACAATATTCTGTCTGTGTGTATGCCTGCAAGCCAGAAGAGGGCACCAGACCTTATTACAGATGGTTGTGAGCCACCATGTGGTTGCTGGGAATTGAACTCAGGACCTTTGGAAGAGTCAGTGCTCTTAACCTCTGAGCCATCTCTCCAGCCCCCAACATGTAAATTTTTAAGGGCAAGATGTTTTTCTGTTTTCTTGTGTCTATGTAACAAGGTTTTTTTCTTCCTTTTAGTGGGAAAACTCATGGAGCTCCATGGTGAAGGTGGTAGTTCTGGAAAAACTACTGGTGATGAGACAGGTGCTAAGGTTGAACGAGCCGATGGATATGAACCACCAGTCCAAGAATCTGTGTGAAATACAGATTTTTAATAGTGACAAATAAAGTCTTATTTGTGATGATGGTTTGCTTCTGAACACTGTTTTAAAATATGACAGGTTGAAGAATTTAAAGACTTGTATAGCTAGGCTTTTGTAGCATGGCACTCTTACTCCTTAGCATCTGCTGGGTCATGACTTGATGGAGGACATGTCAGGACAAGATTGAGGCTGCCTTAGTTCTTCAGCCATTTGGCCTGTTTTGGGGTCCTGTCCTCAAATTTTTGGTCAGTTTTTATTTCTAATAAAGTTCTCATGCAGTGCTGATGGTGTGGAGACTACAGTTGGCGAGCCACCAGGCTGAATAGAGGAAATTACTTTGTAGAGTTTTGATGCCTGGGCAGCATCCAGATCAGATCGCAGGTCTTAAACTTGCTAGGTTAGTCCTGTCTGGCCAAATTTTTAATGCTGTATTTAGGTTTTCCTACCATGCCATTCCAGAAAGTTAAAGTTGATGGAAGTCCCTAGATTTTCTGGAGACTTGATTTCATTAAGCATGTTCCTCCCCCAATTTTAGCCTATGCCTTTACAAGGTAAGGTATTAGGAAGTGTACCTTCTAGGCATTTTATATTTGACATCCTAAGTGGTGTTTTGTTTGCAGAACAGGGATCTTGGGACATGGTAGGTAGCAAACAATACTATTACAAGTATTTTTCCAGCCCTAAAGTGTTAGTTGAGACAGGGTCTTGGTATATGTAGCTCAAGCAAGCTTACTGGTTTAGTAAGTCTGCTACATCTTGGAGTAGGGACTCGGATAACACTCTTTGAAGGGCTTATTTGGAAAGGCTCAAAGAGGAGTTAGGCCAGGAGCTCAAGAGGTGGCTCAGCCATTAAGAGCTGAGGACCCACATGGTAGCCGAACTGTCAAATGCAAGTTAAGAGGATCACACACCCTTTTCTGTGCTCTCTGGGCACCAGGTATGCGTGTGGTGCCACATACATTAGAACAAAACATGTAAAATGGCTTGGCCTATTAAAATTTAAGCCAACCTATAGGCTACTCTGGAAGTCTGTTATATAACATGCTTCCATGGGGTTGATGGGAACCTGTATTTATAGGACTTTGAATGACTTAACCCTTAGTCTGTCCTAGAAAGACAAAAATTTGTAATGAAGATAGCAAACAAACCTCACATTGGTTTCTTCAGTGTGCACAACCAAGAACAACTTTTAACTGTAGACTATAAAGGGGTAAGTCCTAAGGAGACTATCAAGACTTACCCTGCTCCCAAGGGACAGACTGGTCATTGTAACCGGGAATTCCTACATAAGGGAGAATTGAAGAATCATCTGGTAACTTTTTTTTTTAAAAAAAGTTTTAACTCTTTTTTTAATATTTATTATGTATACAATATTCTGTCTGTGTGTATGCCTGCAGGCCAGAAGAAGGCACCAGACCCCATTACAGATGGTTGTGAGCCACCATGTGGTTGCTGGGAATTGAACTCAGGACCTTTGGAAGAGCAGGCAATGCTCTTAACCTCTGAGCCATCTTTCCAGCCCTCTGGTAACTTTTAAGAGGCAATGTGGGTAGACTTTCAAAAAACAGAAAAGACAAGTAATAAAAGACTGCCATAACTATCTTAAATTGCACACCAAATATTTCCCAAACAGCATGCCCAGGGTATAACAAGAGCATTAACACTAGGTATTTAAACAATGATTGTTTTAGTAATACCTTTTGGTCTTAATTTGGTTCCAATGCATTTTTGACCAGATAGTTGACTAGAAGGGGGATTACCTTGTACAGTATAGGATATTTAGCGGGGTCACTGGTCTCTACCCATTAGATAGTAACACTCTAGTTTGAAGAGTCTTGCCGATGGTGAACTTAATGAGATATCAGTGTGGATGTGCCTCTAGCCTCTTGGTTAGATTAAGTGTATCCTTCAAAATAGCTTAGAAAGTCAATGTTGGCCGTAAACTATTGACTGGCTGCTCTTGGCTTGGACCATGCCATGTATTTACATCCTCTGAATGATTCTGAGGGATGAGATAATGTCTCCCTCAGGAGAAGTAGGCTTGCTTCTGCATGCTGCCAGAGTGAAAAAGGTTCTCTACCGTGACCATTACTTTATGGCCTTCAGGATTTAGGGGCACAGGAAATAAAGGAACATGAAGTCCAGGCAATGCTTGGAGTGGTAAAGTCCTTGGTTTCTGCTGGAGTAGTCTCATGTCTTCTGCCAGTAAACCCTCATGCGAAAAACACAAAGCACCAAGTAATCACAGGCACTCCGCTTGTTCTGAAGCCAATCTGACTTCTACAGTAAATATCTGGGGCTGGAAAGATGGCGCGGTGGTTAAGAGCACTGGCTGCTTCCAGAGAACTCAGGGTCCACTGCTGGCACCCACATAGTGGCTCATAGTAACTGGTTCAGGAAATCCAATGTCCCTGGGGACAAAGCAAAATACCTATTTTAAAAAGTAAATATTTCAGCACGTATCTGCTTTCTGTCATGGTGTTTTTGGTTCCTCGGCATCCTGCCTTTGTGCTTGAGTGACAGCATTAGGTATGCGTAGCAGAAGAGGCTACTTATTACATGGCAAGCCACGATGCAAAAAAGAGGTCTACCAGGTCTCTGCCTCATAAGCAGTGTAGAATAAGGTATGTACTACTACACTTGGTCTTGATTTTTTTTTTTTTAATTCTATTTGTTTTTAAAACAAGACTTCTCTAGCCCTGGCTGCCTGGAACTTACTATGTAGACCAGGCTAGTCTTGACCTCAAAGAGATCTGCTTGTCTCTGCCTCCCCAGTGCTGAGATTGAAGGTGGGATTAAACATACATCACCATGCTCAGCCTAATTTTTAAAAAGTAGGTCTCACTACGTGTTAAGTTAGTTTTTGGCACTGGGCTGAAGTGATATTTGGCCTCAGCCTCTCAAGTTCCTGGGCCTTCAAGAGCACACCACTGCTTTGTTTTTATCTTACTCCTAGGTATTTGTCTAAAAGATGTCCACACAACAAACTAGTTTTAAAGATTTCTGGTGGTGGGCTGGAGAGATGGCTCAGCGGTTAAGAGCATTGCCTGCTCTTCCAAAGGTCCTGAGTTCAATTCCCAGCAACCACATGGTGGCTCACAACCATCTGTAATGAGATCTGGTGCCCTCTTCTGGCAGGCATATACATAGAAAGAATATTGTATACATAATAAATAAATAAATAAATATTAAAAAAAATATTTCTGGTGGTTAGGATGAGAACGACCCCTATTAAGCTCTGCTGTGTGGATTCTTGGTCCCCAGTTAGTTGCACTGTTATGGAAGTATCAAGTGTGGCCTTGCAGGTGTGCTGTTGGGGCTGGGCTTTGAGGTCTCAGCTCAGGCCTCTGCCTGCTGCTAGTAGGTCAGGATATAAAGGTCTCACTATCCATTCATTGCCACTGTCTTCTGCCATGATGACCATGAAGTAACCCTAACCCTCTAAAACTAAACAAGCCCATGATTAAATGTTTCCTTCTATGAGTTGTCTTGGTCACGGTTTCTCTTCACAGCAACAGAACAATAACTAGATAAGGTTGATGCCATTATTCATTGCACTAAAAGCCTAATAGAGTGGGTAAACAAATTGTGGTATTTATATGTTTAAATAGTAATAAATTATTGATTCACCATGGATATGTTAGGCAA